ACAAACTAATCTGTAACTGATTTTCTCATACATTTACGATTATTGCTATATTGGATTAACCTATATTGCTATATTAGATTATAAATCGTTAAAATAAAGCTTAATAGCCGTCAAATCAACGGGAATGACCTAAAATATATATATAAATGCGCGACAGTAGACTGCATATGTCGTGTAGAAACATACATGGTAGATGACAAGTGTGCGGTAGACCGCATACGACATGAATACCATAACTTTTACCGGTTTGCCACACTTTGTGCTTCTTTAAGTAGGATAATTACTAAAAAAACATTGTGTTCACATTGACAGTGGATGTGTCATAGATTTCAAAAAAGATTTTTTAGTTTTTTCCTAGTTTTTGATTTGAAATATGTATGGAGTAGCTTGGGCCTTGGACTTTAGAGATCTAGAATACATATGATTTTTATAAAAATAATATATAATATATAAGTATACGATGTGGTAATCACAACTTGAAGTGTTTCTGAATATTTGGCCTAGTTTACCAGTATGATTCGGTCCTTTTTTTTAATTATAGCCAATAGAAGCAAAGTTATAAAATATCAGATACAATTTTATAAGTATTAAGTAAACCTGACATTATTTAATATTCTGTTGTTTGTCAATAAATTGGAGTACCTACTTAATACAAATATTTCAAAATGATTGTACTATGAAGTATATATTTCAAATTAACTAATTAAAGTATGGAACAAAAAAATTATTTATCAAAAGAAAATATCAATTGATTTTTCATGGTAATTATATTTTTACGTTTGAATCTATTTTAAAAATAAGCATATATTTTTGTCCAATGTATTTAGTAAAAAAAAAAAAAAGTCTGCTATCAACTATACTTAACAATTTTTAATTCCAATTTATTCTTTCCTTCAGTCCATAAGTTAATTTATACATTAGAAAATGTTTTAAACAATCACATTTTAATCAGGTATTTACTTTAAAATCTTGACAATTGTTTTTTAATTTAGAGTAAATCACAATCATTAATATTCTATGCATATTTTAAAGCAAACATCCATTACCTATGGTAAAGTACTAAAGTTTAAAAAGTCTGAATTTTATTGTTTTTTATTTTTTTCATAATATACTAATTATATTGTATTATTTAATTTTATCAAATTAATAAAGATTAACAATTATTAAATTGTTATTGTGATTACTTCAATTAAAGCTTGAATGTTCGTCCAATTAAAACATTTTTATATTTTGATTTATGAGTAATGAACATGAATTTGGCATTACATTTACCCAAAGTAGGATTTGACGATTATTTTTTATTCATATTCTATACATGTATCATAATAAGTGCTACAATAATTAAGATATCAGTACAATTATCTTTGTCTTTTAATGAATTTACAAATTTAATACATCTAGTGTTTTTATCTCAAAACAAATAACGAGATTTAAATCCAAGTTGGAAAAATGTGCAATTCCAATTAATAAAAAAATATTGTTTCGCTACTCATTTCATGAAAACAAAAAGGTTAAAAAAATGTAATGTTTCAAAATCAAGTGTTATTATAAGACCTTAAAGGCTGTGTTAGTAGAGTTGACGTTGATACAACAATAGAATTGCACCTCCACCGCTCCAGTGTATGCAGTAAACATAATCCTAATCAAATTCATGCTCATCTGGCTGAAATATTTAGTGTTACTTTAAATTTTAATCACATTGCATATTTAAATGCAAAATATATGTATAAAATTATTTATAAATTATAGTTGCTTATAATCTGAGTAACTTTTAATGATTTCAGATATACCCTCATGATCAACCAATGGTGTTTAATCCACAGAATCCAAATGCCCCACCAATTTATCCTTGTGGTAACTGTCATAAAGAAGTTCATGACAATGATCAAGCTGTCTTATGTGAATCTGGTTGTAATTTTTGGTTTCATAGGTATTTATTAAAAATATGAAATAAATATATTTATATTATTGTATGAATGTATAGTGTTGCACAACGTTTTTTGTTAAGCATAGATATTTTTTCATATATATTGATATTGTATCGTAATATCAAATAACAAACAATGGGTACCAATTTTATAATATCGATAAAAAAATGTATTAATAGATTTTTTGGACTCTTAATAGCTCTTTATTACAACTCTGTCAAACTAATAATGTTTAATATACTTATATTGTTGTTTGGCGTTATCTGATGAAAATTTTTAATTTATTTGTTATCCTAAGATAAATAAATAAAAATACAAATGTTTTGATATCAATATTGATGTTTTTTCGGTAGTTTGTGCTCACATAAATATCTGAAAATGTATTCAATATTAAAATTATTGTGCATCACACTATTATTGTATAGACATTTATATAATAAATTCATAATTTAATTTAATTATAATATTAATGTATTGTAAATATTTTCAGGGTTTGTACAGGCTTAATGGAGCCTGCGTTCCAGTTACTTACAGCTGAAGTATACGCTGAGTGGGTGTGTGACAAATGTCTACAAACAAAAAATATACCTTTGGTAAAATACAAACCCTAACGAATACATTTAACATCTCTCAACCCTAATTTACTTTAGCTTTCATGCACTGAATGTTACAATATTTACAGTACTTCAAACCTTCAGTGGATTAAGTACTTAATCTCAGTTACGAGCATTAACGTAATTTCAAATACTTATTATTCATGTATGAATTATAATTTATATGAAATCAAAAATAATTATTTTTGAGTTATTATCAGTCTTATAATTTTTGTTTTATATTTATATATGTATGCATATATATTATATACATATATTTTTTTTATTGAGTTACGACTGAGGTTCAAAATGATAATGTGTAGCGTATAAAAATTCCTCCTTTGTACTCATCAGTATTTCAACTACTTGCATACATTGAGCGTTTTGCCATTTGATTTTTATTTGGCATTTAAAAAATCTAAAGTTCCTTCAAATATACAACAAATTGGGCCTTTTCCTTTTCAATCTACTAATGCATTGTCTTATTGCCACTTTTATCTTCTTTATTATTTTACTTTTATTACTTTTTTCACAAATGAATTGTTTTTATATAATGCAGAATGCTCTTAACAATGTCATGATTTATTATATATTTGTGTATATCTATTGTCATTGATTATAAATACTTGTGTTTGTAATCAATGATGTAATGAAAAAATTTTTTTTTTAGAAAATAATTTAACACAATCAATATGTTTGTACATAGTTAGTTCAATTAAAAAATATATTAAAACCGAGAAACTTATGAACTTGAGATTGTAAGTTCTAAGTGTTACATGTAACTAAATAAAGTAAAATAAAAAATTTGTAATCATTTTTGTATCTTTATAATTCACTCTAGCGGCTATTGTGTTTCTCTCAATTTAATACATAATAATGAAATCACACTATTTTGCAGATTGTTCAATGAATATTTGTACATCTAAAGCAATTAGCAGAACAATCAGTTTGTATTTTTTCTGGATTATAAATGTCATCAAGTTCCAAGCAACCATTTATTACTATATTCAACTGATCATATTGAATGGTGTATTTTTAAAAACTTTTTAAAGTACAATTTTATATTATATTGTTTTCAGTGAAATATTTTATGGCTTTAGTTGTATTATAATTGATATGCTAGAGCAGTCGGTATTTATTTCAAATCTATTGAAATAATTTTATAATTATACCATGATAAAAAAATATGGCAAATGACTATAACAAATTAATTATATTATATTGTATAATACATTACCGCCAAAAGTGTGTAATATGTTATATCATATACCTATTCATAACAATATGATCTGCGTCTGAAACATCTCGGTCACAATAAATAGAAATTAGCACAGCTTAAGACAAGATGGTCTTAAAATTTTTTATCTACCAAGACAAAATAAAATTATTTATTTAAATATATGGGTAATATAAAAAATTATATTACACCTCGAATTTATTCAACAATTTCAACATAAAGCACGTTGAAGATATACATATATATATTTAATAGTGACATAAGCTTATTTAAAAAAAAAAACCAATTATTATGTCTTACGCAACTGAAAATCGAGAAAAGTATGTTAACCATATGTAACCATATTCATTTAATGATACACTAGTGAAGATTTAATAGTGTTAACATTCCATGACATCAATATACCCCGTGAACTGTAATGATTACCAAATAGAACAGGGGTTTTCAATTTGTGCGTCATGGCTCCCAGAGGTGTCACAATTATTATCAAGGAAATCACGTCCGCAATAAATAATGTAAATTTGGTTATTTTATTATTATTGTTTTTTTGTATGGGATACTTAAATTATTTTTGAAAATCAGAAGAGCCATGACCCCACAAAGGTTGTCAAACCTCTTTCCCCTGGCATAAAAGTATGTTACAATTTAAATTATAATTAAGTGTTAGATAAATCTAATAATTATTAATTTGTTTCATCGGATCATTTTAACGAATCCCAACTGGTTCAAAATTTCATAAACGCATGGCGTATACAAATGTCTCTTACACTACCTTCTTGTATATGTTGAGGTTTATGTTTAAAAAAAAAAGAATTCCTTAAATACCTTAATTTTTTTTTTATCTTTTACTATGTGGTATGTATTGATTTTATAATAAAAAATAGTTTTAAAAACAAATTCACAATTTATTATATAAAATGTTTGTGTATATATTTTGTCATTGTATGCAACTCATAATTATTTTCAGTGAAAATTAATGACTTGCATGAATGCAGATTATAATAATTGAAATGGTAAAACAAGTAACAACTACTATGTATTTAAAAAGTTTAAAAAAATGATAATTGTTTGCAAGAAATATCAAAACAGCTGATTAAATAAATAATACTATATTAAACTTAATAAAATAATAACCAAAGATACATTAAATCATTACAACAAGTTCACCTTATCCAAATCACTTTCAATAATACCAATTTTCTTTAGTTTTATTGGTGATTTTGGTACGACATAATATCACATTTAATCATTGTACCAATCCAAAAATAGTAAGGTAAATGAAAGTACTAATATAAAGAATAATATATACACTCTAAGACCAGCGTTGGTTTGTATTGCTGATCTTATTTCAGTGTTAGCATCAATAATGTTCTCAGTAGTATTAACTGCGATTGTGTCTATCCTCTCGAGATCCTGATCTTGTTCTAATATTTTTTCAGTAAACAACTCTTGTAACTCAGCGATTCGTACAGCCTTGGACTCTATATTCCTCACCTACAAAAAAAGAAAGAAAATTCAGCTCAATAAGAGGTTAGCAAACGAAACAATTCCAAAGTAAAATTGTACATACTTCATTTGATAATTGATTTAATTCATTGTACATTTCTATATTTTCGGCTTCGAACATTTGCAATTCTTCTGGTGACAATTCATCATCCAGTTGAGCTGCATACTGTCGGTCAGCAGCTTCATACTCAACAGCGGCCGCGTTATTGGTTTCTTTTGGGGGTTCAAAACCGTGGGTCAAGTTGCTCAACTTTGAAACGTTTTCATACTCTAAACACCTTTGGGCTCGAGTTGCTTTGATCTCTGCAAACAACTTGGTAACGGATTTTTGCCGCCATTCGACATAGCGTATGATCTGCCGTCTATGATCGTCAATTTGACTGCAATCGCCTGTCAGACTCTTTTTGAGCACGATCAACTGTTGACCGCACGTTTTGATGATGTGCTGCGCGCCAATATCGATTTTGTCACGGTCCGCGTCTGTTAGCGTGGTCTGCTGATTGAATGCCTGGACGTCGATATAGTCCTTAAAGTGCCGGTTCAAGAAGTCTGTCAGCTTGACTAGATCGTTGACGATATCCTTGGCCCTACGAGAAAATTCGTCTCTACGTGGCTTACGTTGCTTCAGAATATCCACTTGTGGCGGTGCTGGGGACCCAAATGCCCTGTTTCTCGTTTTGATAGTTTTGACATACGCTTTGAACACGGCTGTCTTGTCCATCTTAACTACAGAATCATCGTCTGATAGACTTAAACTAAAAAAAATTGATGGTGACGAAGAATTATATTTTGAAAATTCCCCGCTATCATTATTTGTTATTTATTATTGTCGTGATAACAAATATTGTGATATCTATTAAATCGTGGATTTCAAACACGGACTAAGATATAATGGACTGGAAACGACAAGGTGGGCGGGTGACGGGGGACGGCCCGCAAAAGGTGTCTCTGTTATCATCAACACTCATAATCGAATGTTTTCAGCGCTACCAGTGGTTTTATTTTGCGTCACATTTTGTATCTCAGTCCATGTTTTATACAGAGGGCGCTGTAAACTCTCGATTATGGTTGCGACCCCCCGCATTTGCTTCTTGTACATACTTTCGAGGCCACTGATAAGCTGCTCGTTTCCAGTCCATTATATCCACAGATTTCTATATATTACTAGATAGCGAACTCCGGTCATGAATTGAAGCTTCAAGGTCGGTTGGCAATTGTATGGTATTTCATATGACAAATAAGATGATATTATGATTTATTTTATATCGTATTTTATTATTTTTAAACATTAAGTTTACAAAAAAAAAAAAATATTTTATATAAGTCATTTTACATTTACTATTTTATTTGACCGTTAAAAAAAATATTATTCCTAATACATTTTGTATAATAAATGAAATGTTTTGCCAACCGAGAAAATGGCGGCCGTTCACAGCTGAGCTTCACTTGTAACAATGTACATTGTATAAGAGTTCCTTATCTAGTGTAGTATAGAAGTCTGTGATTATATCTTAGTCCGTGATTTCAAAATATTAAACCGTGGTCACGGTGATAAGTCAGATAAATAGTGGTACATAATAGACCGCCATTTTTTCGTTCAAATCTCATGGAAATAATACAAAATAATATTATTATGATATATTATGATATATCTATGAACAATGTCACTCGGTATTTCGTTTGAATCGTTCGTTAACTGATCGACAGTTCACCATTGTTCTTTATTTATTATTTTTTCAATCGATTAACTGCGGAGTGCGGATGTTGGTATCAATATATTTCGAAATAGGTAACTGTTACCTATAGAGTATAGGGTATACTCCGTTGCCGACCATGTACTGCTTATTTTCTCCCCAGGGCCCAACATGGAAAAACGCATTTATCATTTTTTCTTATGTTTTTGAATACCTAATGTTAATGGGTATAATCACCAATTACAAAAATGATAGAGAATAATTTTTTTGAGGGTATGACATTGTATGGATATCTCTAAATATGTAGTGTCTCAAAATAATTTAAACATCATTTAAATTTACAAAATTATAAAAAATGATTTTATGTGAAAGTGTTTTGTCTATGTTGCTCGTGGGTCAGAGATTAAACAAATATTGCACTGAGTCACTGACATCGTATTAAATACCGCTTATCAGTAAAACAATTGTTTTTTTAATGTTTTGAAAAAAATGTCACAGTTAAGTATTTTACATTAACTATACTTAGGACAAATTTTAATCACTGTGACACTACTAGCTTGTAATTAGGTATTCAATAAATAAAAAAGACCGTTATTATACTCTTATAGTTTTATACAATTGTCGACACTTAATACTCACATAGTTAGGTATATGATTAAGTCTCAGAGTTTGAAAAATGTATTTCAACTGTTTAAAATCTTTAAAATTACAACTATATTATTATTTATTATATAATTTAAATACTGCCCATATCTCTGTATGGCTTTATACCACAGACAATCAGACAATTTATTTTGAATTTATCATACTATATTTTAATTAATAATATTATGTTTAGGGACATATCAATATAATATTATAATATTATATACCATATTTCTACATATTATTAATACCTTTTATAGATACTAATATACTAATAAAGTATATTAGTATGCCAACGGTTGTAGATTTAATATTATGTTAATTTCCTCTCTGTATTATTGCTTAGTTATTATTAGTATTATTATTTATGGGGCTGGAGCGTGATTAATTGTCGGTCGAAAACATAGCTCACGACTTCAATCACTACGCCCAATATAATGTTCTGATATTAATTTTGAAAGCAGATTTGAATTCGTCACTAAATTATCTATGCTTTGACAATTTCATTTTTCTGATTTTTATTTTTTTTTACTTAGAAATGTATTAACAGAAAGAGTAAAAATAGATCATACTCATAATTCAAATTTAAATACATTTATATAGAATATAAAAAATGTACGACAATCAAAGCATAGTAAATGTAGAGGAGAATACAAATCTGCTTTCAAAATTTAAATCGGAACATCCTACTGAGCGTAGTGATTGAAGCCACTGGCAGTATTTTTTGAAAAAAAATTGCCCTAATTTTATAAAGTAATATTTGGTGACATGTGCATGCGCGTAGGTAAAATGACAGACTTATTATGATGCCCATATACAACGTGATCGGTACTACGAATTACACACACTAATGTTCATTTACTTTCAACACATTCGCAAGACACATATGAACTGAAATATAAAATGCCTAGTTTTTACTCCTTAGAATGGATTACGCTCCAGCCCCCTTAATTATCAACTATTTAACAACAACAATAATTCGTAATCATTATAATTTATAAACGATTGAAAACGAATTACTAACATTCTTCACACAATTATAATAAAATTGTGGATAAATGGAGGCGTGAAAATCTGTAAGAGAGATGCAACACTATGGATCATAGTATAAATTAAATTACATTATATTGTACAATATAATATTAAATTATACTTAGGTACATAGGTATTAAATTTAGGTAGGTTAGGGTAGTTATATGTATTTTTCTCCGCTACTTAACAGATATAAATTAATAATTCAGTATAAATAATTTTGATTTATATTGACCAAAATATACAATATTATACTTTATTTATTTATTTATGCGTTTTTGCTGGCGTCTGGCTTGCACAGTGCAAACAGTACTTACGGTTTCCTCACAAAAATATTTTAAATGAGTCTTTTCCAAGATTAGTTATGTTTGTGGTTTTCTTATACAATTGTATTATTAATAGTAGGCAGTAGTTAATTATATAAGTGTAATGCCCGTTTACGTAGTCAATTTATTATATTGTGTCACATAAATTGACTATGCATACGGACACGAGCTTAAACTTTCGAGAAAACAATCAAATGTAAAATAAGTATTTAATATTTTTAATCGTAATTTCAAATTATTAACTATATAGGTAATGTAATTAGCAACAATCCAATAACAACTCTTCTTCGAAAATAAAAGCCAAACTGTAATTAAAAGTATCAAAAAATAATCTATGGAGACTAATCAAACGATTTGCATCGGCAGAATGTATCCAAATTCTAGAACGATTTAATATTGATGAGAAATAAGAAAAATATGCTGTAATATCCTCAATATCAAAAGTAAATATTTGTATATCTATACTTTATAATAAAATGGTTAATTTAAAAAAAAAAACAAAAAAGTATACGATACTACTACGATAGTAGTTCTGTAAAACAAATTTTGAACCAACTTCATTACTTTTATGTTTCATAAGGTAACAATATTATTATATATAATATAGTATATTAAAAGAATACACATTTTGAGTACCTATTCACTTATTTATTTGTAGTAAATTCGAATTTAAATACCGTATAATGTAACATATATACTCAAAATATTTATTATTTTCTTTCCAATGCATGAATGTGGATTTTTCTCGGTATTTTTTGGTAGTTTTATTTTATGTCTACAGTATCAATAATATATTTGGCTTTTTACATCTCAAAATAGTACCTATCTAAAACATTTATAATAGGGTTTTCTTAAAAGAAAAGTTTTTAACTTACACAAATTTAATATGTCATTAATTCATTATTTGTTAAATAATATAGAACAATGCAGTGTTAGCCTGTGGTAGTCTCAGTAAACGAATTGAGTTACCTAAGGTCACCTGAGATAGTCAAAAAAACCAATGAGTACCATATTTTTATTTTGTACCTACCTTAATTATTCAAAAACAATGTCATCATGACCAGGTGGCAGGTCATGAGTAAAACATGTTATAGATTGAAAAAAAAACCTTATTTTAATGGGATTGTTTAATATATTATTACTAAGTCCGAAGAATATAAATTAATAATTGTATTCACGTGCTAACAACCTATACAGGATGTAACTTTGCAGTCACCCCTGCTTGCACACATGACCATATGTTCCTGATGTGTCATTTTGATTGGTAATTTTCAACGGTTTTTATTTTCCGGTATCCTACATATATGTATGAAAATTGCCTACTTCAAACGCCTCAAACTGATTAATAAATGATATTATATTATATTGATAACTGATGCAGTTTCATATTATTCTATAGGCTACAAAACACATTCATGTAAAATCTTCTAGAATTTTCTTTAATAAATTAAACTAAAATATATTACAATACATAAACTTGTCTACAGCATTATAGTTAATAAGTTAATTAATATTCATTAAAGAATTAAGTATTTATTTAAAAATTAATATTAAAAAATAAAATACTATTCAAACTACTCAATTATTTTGTATTATGAACTGCAAAAATTAATAAATACTTAATAACCTTAAAATCATATATGATATATTGTATTAAACATTAAATTTTAAAAGGTAACCACGACCTAAAAAGTAAAAATTAAACTACAATAATAATTTTGATAAAAACTACCAACGGATTATTATAGCACAATATGAATATTTTTGAAATTATTTGAATGTAGTGTAATTTAAAATAAGCCGGAAAGGGTACAGAGGATGGAAACATGTTTTTTTTTAAGTACCTAACTATACAGCTATTAGTATCATAAATGTATGATGTATATTTTGTGGACAACAAATACTTTATTTAACAGTATAGTTGGTTTATTCCATAATTTTTTTTTATGTTCTTATTCTTTTGCCTCGTGTTTTTAAATGAAGTATTCAAAAAGTAAAATAATGATCATTATCATGGTGGATAA